ATTTTTTTTAAATACTTGCAAAAAGTCACGTGGGTCATTCCAGGTAAAATTTTCATTAAAAAATTTTTTTTTCGAATTTCATGTAAAAAATAAGAAAACACGTATTTTTTTATTTTATTATTAAATGAAACTGGAAAAAATTTGACTTTTTTGAAAATAGTTCGAAAAAGTCCAAAAAGTCACATGGGGCATTCCGGGAGAAATTTTTATAAAAAATTTAATTTTCTTTGGTACAATTTTTTTCGAATTTTAAGTGAATAATAAGAAAGCACGTATTTTTTATTTTGTTATCGGAAAAAAATTATGGAAATTGTAGCTAAAGTGATTGGAATTCGAAGTTTGCAGGTTAGGCGACGCTGGAAAAAAATGATTGCGCAGGCGCGTAGCGGCTGCGCGAGCCTTTTTTCCCCGGCGTCACTACTTTTTTTCCCTCTGACCTAACTTCAATAAAATGAGTTTTTCAAGCATGGTGTTGTATAAAATTAAAAACATTTCCCCTTAAAGTTACCTAATAACTTCAAAAATGGTCAAAATACTCCTTCTTTGAACTTTTAAATTAAAATATCTTAAAAACCTCTCATTCTGAGGTTAGTTTCAGATTTAAATCGTCAAAAACAGTCGAAAAAGTATTATTTGATTCTTGGTTCTGAAATTCGACAAAATTTTGTTAACCTAATTCCAAAATTGCATTTTCTCACAAACGACTAGAAATTTCTAACAAAAACAAATTCGAATTTAATATTTTGCGCACATTTAAGGCTTTGGCTCATCTATATAATAACGTTTAACGCGAATTAAAATTCTCATATTTAGAGAAGAAAAAATATTCTTCTCTCATTTTTAATTCTTAATCTTAAAAAACGAAACAATGTCCCAAAATTGTAGACGTTTAGAATAAGGAATAAAATTTTGAAAAAAAAACCGATATGTTTCCAGCTATAAATACTCTATTAAATAACAGATAAAAAAAAGAATTTTGATTTAAAAAATGATTTGAAAAATCACTTTTAAATATATATATATATTATTCTCATGATTCAATTTTTTTTTACAATAGAAACATCTATATTTTTCAGGACATATGAATCGTGATTATCTAAATTCAAGAAACTCTCTTCTACTAACAACAAATATCAGACTATTCTACTCTCCTAATATTTCTATATATAATAAATTGATGTCCTCACTATACTAAAAATTAATTGATATTGTGCTTAGCCTACAAAAAAGTATCGAATTTCCTAGCTATAGACACAATGAGTCATGATTTTTTTTAATGATTGATTTAATTATATTATGACCTTTTTTTCTTATAAATGTTTCAAATGAAACATTCGCGACAAATAGAGTGTATGAATAATAATTTTACTTTTTTTCATATACACACGGAATCTATAGAAATTCAAGATTATTCTTATAAATAAATGAGTTTTATCAAAAATTTTATGATGAATTTTTCTTTTTGGTATAAAAACTAGGCACGGTGCAAAAATTGAAAAATTAATGGGAACATCGATCGATCCTCTAAGCCTTCAAAAATGAAAACGAAATTTTCTTTTTCTTATACAACCGAAAAAGCCATTTTTTTGATCTTAGAATTGCTTTTCAGTTAATATTTTTTAATGCTATTTTTTCTTTCTTTCGTGGTACGTGTTTTTTCGTAATTATAAAAAGAGAATGTAAATTTAATTTTTTTTAATTTAACATAAATATTAAAACCCAGAGAAGAGTTTTTTATTTATTATTTGAATAAAAAATTTTTATTTCACTTCAATAAAAATTCTGAGACAAATATTTATTTTTTCAGTGAATCAAAACTTTTTTAATTACTAGATTTTTCATTTCACCGAATTTTCACAATTCGGAATTTTTATTTAAACTAATTCAGAGTTGCAAAAAAATGTTAGTTTTTTCTGATTTCCAGGCGGAATTTTGCCTTTTTTTCTTAAAGAATATTTTGATTCACTCTTAATATTTAAATTCAAATTTTATTTCAATAAATAAATATTGAATGAATAAATAAATAATAATAAATAAATAAATATTGCATTTGGACAAAAAAAATTAACAATAAACTTACATTCCCTTTTCAATCAAACATTGTTCAATATTTGAAAATTTATCGTTAACTAAACATGTGTGCACCCTCTTAAATTCTATTTTGAGCAACTTCTTGTTTTTTCCTAAGTCGAACTAAATCGCGGCTCAAATTTATTCCCGGATCTTATTTCTTTTTAATTTTCAAACTGTTGGGTATACCTAACAGAATCGAAACTAGAATCACAAATTTCTCCCAATAATAATCATTTCCTAAATATTTAGAAAATATTTATAAGAAACACGTGAAAAAGAAAATATCAAACCAAAAAAAAAATATCTAGTTTCGACTCTCAAGGACGAATTTAGCACTTCTTTTTGTTTTAGACATTTCGATGATTGTCATCCTTGTGAACTGAAAATTTTACAATCACATCGGCCCTTGATCCTAACGTTTAATAATATTTTTTTATATGTACGTTTAACTTTTTTTTATTTTCATTTTCTTTTTCTTTTAAATTCCGAACCTATTTTTTTTCTTCTTCTTCTTCTTCTTTTTAAATTTAGTTTTAATTCCTAGATTAATTCTTATTAATATTAAACCGCCATTATTATTGGCGTAAAATATTTTTGCGCAAGTCTTGTTTTTGGTATTCTACTATGAAATTACACAAGATAAAAATTATCGTTGATTTACTAGGGATCTATTTGCTTCCTCTGTGACTCATAATATCTCATTATAGAATTATTTTAAATAGGTCATACCTTGAAAATTTATAACAAATATTATTTTTTTTTCTATAAAGACTGCTCTCTACATAATCTATAAGATCATTTTGATCATTACGTCTTTGAATATCTTTGGCTTTCAACTGCTCCCAAAAGTGAATTGGATTCACTTTCAAAATTCTCCCTTATTCCTTTTAAATATCTATTATAAGCGTTCGAAAAAAGTACTTATGAAGAATTTATTTAATTTTCTTTTAAAATTAAAATAGTACTTTTTTTCTTCAAAGAAAGGCTCTATTGACACATAATTAAATCAACGTCTCTCTTGAGTAAAATATTATTTAAAATGGTAGTTTAATATAATTCTATTAAAAAAATTTTCAATATGATGTGAACTCGAAAAATTATGCCAGATAATTCTTAATTATTTTTCAATTAAAGATAATGCTCAAAGGTCAAATTTTAGTGAAGCTAATAATTTCTTCTTAAACTATATATTATATTTAAACAATTTTAACTCACAATTAACTTTCGTATCTTTTTAAAAATCATTTTATAATTTAAATATTGATAATAAAACTAATTTAAAAAAAAAAAATTTCTACAAACACTTTAATTCATTTTGCTAAGTCACTAACGTTTTTCAGGATTTTTTTAAATATGTTATCAAAATCTTCGATAAAGATTTTTGTTATTTGAATTTTTGTCATATTTTTTTGAAAAAAATTACATTTTTATAAAAGGCTCATTGCATTGATTACGGAACAAAATTTTTTTTAAGAAAATAGAACTTTCGAAATATAAAATTAAAAAGTTTTTAAAGAATTAAAATTAAGAGTTTGTAAAATTTTATTGAAAATAATTGATTTTTTAATGAAAAATCCAAATAGAAATTAGCTTCAAAAGAAGTCTATTAAGAATTTTTTTTCAAAAAGTAATTTTTATAATTTTTTTAAATAATTGAAAAATTACTCACATCCGAAAATTCAAATATCTACAAAAAAAAAATTACATTAAAATCTTTTGAAAAAATTTAATTTTTTTAATTTGCAAAATTATCAAATTATTAAAATTATCAATTATTATTTCAGATTATTATTAAGTTTCGGAGAAAACAATTATTTAAAAAAATTTTAACTAGAATTCTTCAAAAAATTAATTAATTTTTTAAATCGTTAAAAAATTCTTTAAAGAAATTCAATTATTTTTGAAAAATTTCATCAGAATATTTAAAAAAAATTAATTCTTAAATTTGTATCTAACATTTAAAATATTAAATCTTAAAATTTTTTTATTATAATTTTATTAAAATTTTTAAAAAATGTGCTTTATTATTAAATTTCATTAAAATTGTTGAAAAATCCTGTACTTTTAAATTTGTAATTAAAATTCTTTGAAAACTTGATTATTTTTACAATTTTCCAAAAATAAAAAAAACTCAAATGTTGTCAAAATTTTTTTTTACTAAATTTCAATTATTTGGAAATATTTTAACTTTATATAATTAAAAAACCTATTAAAATTCAAAATTTATTTAAAAATATTTTTAAAAAACAGATTTAAAGAATTTTTAAATTATTATTTTTAAAATTTAAATTTAATTTTTCTATATTTCCGATTATTTATATTCAATAAATTCACATTATTGAATTTAAAAAGAATTTATGAAACGTTGCAGTAACAATTATTATAAAAAATTGAACTTTTGTAGTCAAATAATTGACAATTTTTAGAAATAATTTAAAGGTTTGAAATTAAACTTTTGAAAATCTTAGATGATAAAATTTTATAATAAAATTTAGATACTTATTTTAAAAAGTTGTTAAACTGTTTAATAATTTTTGTTAAAAAATCTAGAAAATAATCGACTTTTAAAAAAATGACTGTTGTAATTTTTAGAAATAATTGAATTTGCAATTTTCATAAAAACATTTAAATTTTGTATTAAAATAATTAAATTCTGGAATAAATTTTTGAACGTTATTAAAAATAATTAAATTTTTCAAGAGTTGTAGTTTTAATTTTTAAAAATAATTAAATTTCAGAAAGATTGAAAATAAAATTTTCAGAATAATAATTCCTGTAGAGAAATATTTAAATATTTTTACGTAACAAAATTATTCAATCTTTGAATTAATTAGTTAATTAGTTAATTAATTAATTAATTCAAAGAATTAATTAGAAATTAAAAGAAGAAGTTAAAGAAGTTAAGAGTCAATCAATTTTTTGCGTCTTTATCATCATCAGAATTAAATGTTTACCAAACTTAATTCTCTTGAAATGGAAATATTGATATTAAATTAAAATTCTGTTTAAATATAATTCGTAAAAAAATTATAATAAACACCAACAGCATATTTTATTACTTTTAATTTTGACACAGCATTATCTTGAATTCTAGAATAATTAAGAATTATTTTGCATAATTTTACGAGTTCATTTCATACCGGTTTTGTTTTTTTAATAGAATCCCACAAAACAGACTTTTCAAAAATTATTTTACTCAAGAAGAGTCGTCAAAATGTGCCAATTATTTTTAATTATTGTTCGTTAAATTCCGATTACTGCGTCATTAATACCAAAAAAAAGCAAATTCGCCGCGAAACCTAAGAGTGACGAGCAATTTGTACGAGTTTAGCGCTTTTTTTTTAAAATGCTTATTGTGCTCTCGATTCTAATTCATTAAACTCAATTCCACTTTTTAAATTCCCTTCAATTCCTCACATCAAATTTTATACTTTCAAAAAGTAAGAACTAAGAAAAAAACTCACTCAACTCGGATACAAAAATCGTTGTTAAACTAGAATATTTTTGACTTTCGATTGCGATTAACTTCTCTATAAAATTAAATTCGATGATAATGATGATATTTCATGTGGAACAAGTGTAGTAACCGAGTTTCCGTAAGTTTTCGTTGTGTTCGAGCAATAAAACACTTTTTTTTAATTGGCATCGTTTTCTTTCAATAAAATTTACTAGTCTTTGATCTACTTTTGATCTTTATCATTTCTAGGATCATAGAATTGATTATCATCATCATCATCATCATCATAGTCGATATTCTCGATGTCTAGACTCGGCTCCGGTAGTAAAGGCGGTGGAATTGACGCCACGTCGAAACTGGAATCAGTGCTCGATACAATTTGTCCGTCTTTGATTTCGAGATCAATGGAGGCGCGCTGTCGCCTCTGTTGTCGTTTCCTTCGAAAAGCTCTCTGGCCCCTGTCGGGAGTGTGACCGGGACTGTCCATACTCGACGAGGTGTCGCCTTCGCTTTGTGGACTTCGGTTCGATGAGTAGGGCATTGTTTTCGTTCTGATTTGCGCTCGGATCTGCATCGGGGGACTCGAGGTTGTTGATTCGCCACTTAGGCTGGTGGTCGAGTAGTAGGGGGTCGATTTGGCTCGAGTGGGGACAACGACGGGTCGTTCTGTTGATCTGGTACCGGTTTTGTGATCTTGGGGGTCGGAGTGAAATCTACTGAATCTGTCGGTTCGTTTATGGAGGTCGGACTCTAGTCGCTTTTGGGTGTCTAGGGACCAGTCGTCCTCGCCGGACCTCGATCTGCTGGATAGACCGGCGTAGCGTTCGTGCATGTCTTCGGAACTGTCGCCACGATTGACCTCCATTCGGACCTGATCGCCGCTGGGGTATTTCATGGCTGGGACGTTGTCGTAGAGTTGGTCCTCGTCCTCCTCGGGGATTGGGCCTGGGAGATTGGAGATTTCGATAACGTCTGGGAGGATGTCGTAGTCTTCGCGGATGGCCTCGTCGTATTCGTTCTCGAAGGTGATTTTCGGTGGGGAGATGTCGACGAAGGCGTGAGCGCCGGTGTCCTCCTCGAAGCGACGACGGTGCTCGTCGAATTGGCTTTCGACGAATTTTCTGGCTTCGTCGAATTCGTCTTTGTTGGAGTCCTCGTCGTCGACTAGCATTTTGCCCTTGCTGTCGTAGGAGCCGCTGCTCATGGGATTCTCCTCGTCCGGGAGAGGCGGACTTTCGACGAACTGGCATTTGGAGTTTGGTCGCATGCTGGTTACGCTCTTGTCGGAGGTTGTGGTGTCGCTTTGACTTTTCTCGGTGAGATTGGAGTAGAATTGTTGGGGGATGATGGAGGTGCTGCCGGACCAGTCGGAGATGGAGGCTCCCAACTCTGCGAGGGAATTGTCGTCGGATTTGGTGCCTGAGTACTGGCAGAATTGGCGAACGGTGTTGTTTGAGCTGGACCATTCGGACATGGAGAGTCCCATGGAAGTGTCCTCGCTGTGGGACGAGCCGGTTATGTAGGAGTTTGATTTTGGTTTTACGGCTATTTTGACGGTGCCGTCCATTGTCGTTGCAGAGGCGGAACTTTGTCCGTCTTCTAGGAAGGCGGAGTGGAGGTCTTCGTGGAGGGTTCGGTTCTCGTCGCTGGAGTCGCTGTCTTGATCGACTCTTCCGGTCGTGTCGGTGCTGTCGGTTACAGTCACTTTGACGGCTTCTTCGGGTTTAATTTCCGAGTAGAAGGCCTCTACGTGACTGACGACCGGAGTTTCGAAGAGAGGCGAACTGGGTGGTGTAGGCCAATCTTCCGAACTTTGTAATTGTAGTTTGGCTCTTCTTGTCTTTGGTGACTTTCCATCGTCGTCCTGAACGTCTATTGGAATGTCTGGTAGTTCGGAGGAAGTTCTACGATCCTCCGACACGGAAGGATGAGCCGCCCCGGAAGGTGGGTCTGATGACAAGGACGGTTGATGATCACTGGATATTAGAGACTCGTCCTCAATACTAGGCGATCTCGAACTTGGTTTGAACGAATCTTCCATATCGCTTTTGTCTTGTTCGGAAGTTGTGGATCTTTCGGAAATTCGCGAAAGAGTTCGTGAAAGGGAGAAGGCTCCGTAATTGCTGAGAATCTCAGGACCCACAGGATAGCTGAACCCACCTGGGAAATTTATCAGATCCTCTTGGTAACTGTCTTCATTCGGACCATTACTGTCCTCAGAGTTGGGCTGATGATGGTTATCGTCAGGTGGCATCCATCCTTCCTCAAGACTCGAACTTCCCGAACTCTCCAAGGGGAACGGTTTCCAAGTTGAACTCAGTTCTGGTTTAGGATAAGGATGAGAACTACTGCTACTTTCCTCCTCGACAGACCCTTCCTTACGTGATTCTCTAATTTGAGCGATTTCCCTTCTGTCAATGATAGGTTGCACTTGACCGATGCCAAGAGGTCTGGCAATGGAACACGAACTCGAGTCCTGATCTTCCCTATCCGGAGTCCAGGTATTAGTATCTTCACTTCTAGACCTTTCGGTGCTCAATCGAAGTTTTCGATCGACTCCCAGTCGATTAAGATCCAACGTATCGGGGGAATCCTTACCAATCGGTTCATCCTCCGGCAACTCTTCAGCACCCTCCTCCTCCTCCTTTTTCATTTCCAAATACTCCGGTGTCAGTTCAACCTCCACCAGAGTTTTCTCATCAACCTTATCGATTCCATAATCTGGCGAACTCATGTCGCTATCACCTCCGTGCATCTGAACTTGAGTATCTATCGCATCTAATGTATCTTCACTAGTATCGCCAGAATCTAATCTTCGTTTTTCGTGGACCTCAATCTGGTACGTTTCTTGATCGAGAATTTCTGGATCTTCTGCATCTTCATCACTCGATTTTGCTTCATCAGAACATTCCTCAATGGAAATTTGTATTGGCGATCGAACCATGACTGAGTGATCTTGATTAAAATCATAAGGTTCGGGTGGAAATTCACAACCCTCATCGATAACACTAACCGTAACGTTCGGCACATCCTCTTTATCAATCGAACTTCGCGGACTCGAATCATTCCTCCTAATATCTTCTGTTGACATTTGACTTGTTATCTTCTTCACGTAAACAACGTCAGGAACACTTTCTGCCTTTGCCTCTTCTTGTTCAGCGCCGGACTCAACGGAACTCTGGTCAATAAATTTGGTCGATGAATCAATTTTCAAATCTTGGAAGGCAGATGCTATTTTTTCAATGGTACTGGTTGAAATATTCATTTGGTTATCTTGCTCATAAGGTATCAAATCCGGACATATTGCTATTTCATTGTTTTCCGTTAATGGCGATTCTAGATACAGCGTTGATGTTTCAGTGACAGACAGTGAATCGGTGCAAATTTCCGGAACGGTTGTATGATCAGTACTATCAGATTTATGATTTGGGGAAACTTCCGCCTGTATTGGTTGCTTAACAACGGTTAGAATCGGTTCCTCCTGTTTCTCAACTTTTTCATCCTTTTCAACTTCCTCTGACATGTCAACAGTGTCATCCTTACTTGAGAAGGCATTGATCGGTGGTAATCTGTGAAGGGAAATAACTGGAGCGTCGAGTGATTTCGCTCTTCGTTGAGAGGTCGGAGATTGCGTGGCTGCACCTTGTCGCTGTAAAGCTCCGATTCCACTTCCTTCGGACAAACCTAATCGAGCTCGGGCGAATAAAATTGGACTCTGTCCGGGTTTTCGTAGAACAACCGGAGATTCCGCAAGTTCTTGCGCTATTGGAGATTTCTTTACATCTTTCTTTTCTGAACTTTTCTTATCTTCTGGAAGAATTTCTGGTTCAGATTTTGATTCAATTTCAAGGCTTTCTTCAAGGGGAGGAGGTATAATATCATTAAAAGTGGATTCTATTTCGATTTCTTTACGTAGACTGCTATCAACCGCACGTTTGATTGCATCCTTAACAGTGTCAGATTTGCCCTTGACTGACGCTGATCTTTTTGGTGATACTTTATCAAGGGAATCTCTCTGCTCAGTACTACCCAAACTCTTTGAAATACCAAGAGATTTTGGTCTTGGTTTATCGCTTTTCAAACTTCCTGGACTCTTAATCATATCATCATCGACGGATGCTGATTTTCCTTTTGGTTTTTTAATTTCGTCCTTCTCATCCTTGGAAGATGATAAAGATCTACTGTCTGATAATCTACCTACGGATCTTGATCTTGTTTTTTGAACTATACTCACTTCGGGCACCACGTCAGTGGAATCGATTATTATAATTTCCTGAGGCATCTCTCCTAATTTTAATTTAGATTTATCTATTTTTGAGCTGGCTGGAGAAGTTCTTGATTCTTTTGACCCTGCTTTCTTGAGTGGTGGTTTGTCACCCTCCAATGACTTGGATTGCTTCTTAAAGTCTTTTTTCGGTTCTGATTTAGCCTTCTTAATTTTCTTCGGTGATACGTCCTGAATGAAGTGTTTATTTTCACGATCAGGCGATAAGAGAGTGTCAATTGGTGCTTTCTCCTCTGCCAATGATAGAGATTTGGAACGCATTGGTTCGCCATGAGGCCTTAACATGAATGGCGTAAATTCTGGAACCTTTAGACTATCTAATTCTAAAGCTGGTTTTATCGGTACTTCGTCGAGTGGAAGATCCGCTACTGGATCGACAAAATCATCAAAACCAGTGTCAATGATTTTCGGCCTTGCAACTTTAGTAGCCGAATTTTTATTCGCCTCGGTAAATCTCGACTCTATCCTATCTAATATACGTTTCGTTTTTTCAGGAATAGTTGGCTTCTCTAAATTCTTTGATCTGATTATTTTCGATTTTTCGGGCGATACAATGAGTTTTGGAGAAATTGGTGAAGTTTTATCACCTTTAACTAAGCTATCAGTCTTGTCCTCGGAATGATCAGTAATTAAAAGTTTACTGGGTAAATTTCTTAATAATGGCTTATCGGGTATAGGTGGTTTTTTGGCACCAGGTTCAGTCGGTGTAACCAAAGTTACGGATTCTAAAGGCAATGTGGGAATTTCAGGCAGGGGGATTTTTTCAATACTGTCCTGCTTCTCTAAACTATCGTCTGGTACTTTCAACTTTTCCTTCTCCCTTCGTCCCAATTCCTGTTTGATTTCAAGTCCAACGACGTCGGCAAAGTTAAAGGCTTTGTCCCTCGATCTGTCGTCGGACATTCGTTTCTTTTCGAGGACCGAAACAATTGTAACGAGAGGATCGGTTGGCGATAGTTTCGGTGATACTTTGGGAGATATTTTTGGTGAAACTTTGGGTGAGACTTTTGGCGATACTTTAGGTGAAACTTTGGGTGATTTTTTCTCTTTAATGGAAATAATTGTAACTGATGCTTTGGTGGGTGATATTTTGGAAGACTTTTTATCGAGACTTGAAGATTTAATACACGTTCTGTCGCTTGTGGAAGCATCGGATTTGGAATAGTCTAAGGACATAGACTTTGGGGAAAGTCGACAGACTGTTGGTGGTTTTGTTTTTGTGGGGCATTTGTCAGTGGGTGATAAATTATAAACGAAGGTCTTGCGTTCGGTTGGTGATCGTTTTGGACCAGTGGTTACATTAGTTCTGGATTTATCAGAGGGACTTAAAATTGACTTTGATTTATCGGGACTTACTAAAATACTTCTTGGTTTATCGGGGGATAGTTTGGTAATGGGCTTGTCTATTGGTGGTATTTTTGATAAATCTAAACATGGTATTTTGCCATTATCCGATTCCGATTTGTCCTCAGAGGCAGTGCCATTCATAACGTGTCGTTTGTGCAAAGTGTAGGGTATATCGACAGTGGACTTTTGAGTGGAAACTCCGTCAGCAAATGCATCCTCATCGCCAGAATCGGCTGGAGTTAAGTCTATTGACTTCTGATGCATCAGCATGTGCCTCTTGCTATTTGACCCTATTCTCTGTCTAGCTGGATTAGGATCACTCTTTGTGCGTTCTACCGGAATGTGACCGGGCAATGAAGAATCGTCGAAACCTACAACAACTCCAGCGATTATTTTGGGATCATATTCGGTAAACACTGCTTTAGGTTTCAGAATTTCTTCTTCATTGGGAATACCTATCACAGTTTCTGTGCGTGACTCTATTGACAGTTTCACTTGCCGTTCCTTCTCTCGACGTTCATTGTCCTTTCTTGCTTTCTCCAAACTTCTCCAATCGTCCCTTTCACGTGGCTTTTCCTCAGAGAATCCTCTCTCTGTTTTTCCGTTTCTCCTCGAATCCTTAAAGTCTAATTTTTCGATGCTCTTTTGTCTTTCAATATTATCTCTTTCATCGACATAATCCAAACTCCTCCTTTCTTTCGAATCAAACCGTTCTAAACTTTTACGTTCAGTCGATTCCACTTTTTCAAGACTCTTATTTCGTTCGTACTTTTTGTCGTTCAACTTTTCTTTAATATTAAACTGTTCGACATAACTACGCTCTAAAGAACTTAGACGTTCAATAGCGACGGGATCAAAATCAAAAGTCGGTCGGTCCCGAGAATCTAAACGCTCGATACTCTTGCGTCTCGAATCTTTTAGATAATCGATTGAAGTTCGATGTCCGGAGTCTTTACGTTCGAGAACGTGTCTTTGATTATAGTCTAAGGGACTCTTTGGACTCTTGGGGCTCTTGGGACTTTTCGGACTCTTTGGACTCTTGCCGGGACTTCGACGCGTTTCCCGTGAATCGAGACGTTCGATACTTCTCTCTCGTCGCTGCCGTGGCTCAGAATATCGATGACTCTTGTCTTTATAGACATTATCCAAGTTATCGAGACTTTTACGTCTTTCACGTTCAATGTAGAACGTATCTGGATAAAATTCAGATGGTTCGTAACTTGGTTCCCTGGTGTCTAATCTTTCGATACTTCTTCTCAATTCCCGTAAATCATTACGTTCCATACTGCGACGCCTGTAAATTTCACGCGAATCTAATCGTTCGATACTTCTACGTTCCCTGCGTTCTCTAAAATCGGATTTTTCATTTCTCCTAGCTTCTCTGGAATTTTCTCTCTCAATGCGCTTTCGTTCCTTCTCCTGTATCTTCGAAAAGATTTTATCTACTTTCGCTTCCGCCTCACGTCTTCGCGAAGATTTATTACCCCGCCCTAAGCTACCAGTTTCCACATACTGCCTCGACGAATAATCCTCTAAACTCGCAATACTACGCGCCCTAGTTGTCCTACCCGATTTTTTACCTTCCACAGGACTAAGATTATCGTCGATTCGCGACTTGGGTCTCATAATTCCCTCGTCTCTCAATACTTCGGAATCTACGTGAGTGATTTTATGCTTTGATTTTAAATTCTTTAATTCATTTAACACGGTCATTTTTTGTTTCTGCACCTGCAGGACCACAGGATCCTTTTTATTCGAATCCTGATGGGGAAGAGGTGGTTTCGTTTCGATGGAATTCGCGGGACGAGATTCAAATTTACGTTCTATTTGTGTGTTTGAGCGATGAATTCTAGACTCAGTGATGACAAATTCACCATCTGGCTTACTAACGGCTGAGTACCGATCGATGGACTTGGCTTTAATGTCAGTGAGCACGGATTTGAATACTTTATCGGTGGATTTTTTCGAACGATGCTTGACGAATGAATCGGTTTCAGAGTCCATTTGGAACATTTCCGGTTCGATTCCTTCGTCGCTATTATCAGACATTGCCTCATTATGAGGACTCGAATAAGATTCTGGATATTCAAATTCGTGCTCACGTTCCAATAGTTCATAAGAATCATGAGAAAGATCGTCGTGAGAGAGATCTCCCGCTTGGCCGGACTCCTCGTGTCCGGATTCAGTTGACACTGACGATGTACCAGGATATGAGCTACTGTAAATACGATCCGGGACTGAGTCATGTTCGAGGGAGGGTAATTTTGAGCTGGCGACACTGTAAGAACGATTGCTCTCGTCATAGCGCGTGACGGGATTGTCGAGCTCACCCTGGGATGGCAATTGGAATGGCGTCAAGACAGACTCGCCGGAGGATTTCTCCTCTTTTGGGAGTGCCTTGCCGGAGTCCTCGAAACTCGAGGCGTACAATTCTCGGCAACTAACCGAACGCTGCCAAGGATAACGGGGCAAAGGCCGTGGCGGAGGGAATTCAGGGGAAGATACGCTGTTAGAGGGGCTGATACGACCTGCTGTTGTAATCCGCTGCTGACTGGTAGCATGCAACTGCCGCTGAGCTGGGGCCTGGTTCGGGCTGGCAGGCGAATGTACGTCGATAGAGGTGAGCGTCCGAAAGGATGTAGCTGTGTCGTCGCGACGGTGACTCGTCCCTCCCATCGAGACAGTCGTCACAGTCGTCGGAGAATCCAGTGTCATCGAACCGCATGACAGAGACAGAGCCGGGGTTCCCAATGCTGGAAAATTCACGACAATTAGACAGTATTACAAGACAGTTGTGATGATTAAAAAGCGAAACTAAACCAAACAGAAAGAAAAATCGAAAGAAACAGGACTATAACATAAAGCAACTTAAAATTGAACTTTGGTAAAAATTGACGTTTGTGCCCGTAGGACACTTTTCTTTTTCACTCACGATTGTGCAAGAGAAATGAAAAAAGAATCAATGAAAAAAATACAAGTGCAATAGACTATTATGTACAATCTTTTTAAAAGCTCTCACTCCTTATTTCACGTCAATCAAGCATTACTACCAGTACTACAATGCAATTTTAAATTTCATTTTAATTTCTTTTTTCACTTTGGCTGTTTTCGGCACTCGCTCCGACTTAACAAACAGAATGTTATTATCAATTGGATCATCGAGTGAGTACCAAGAACAGCCATTATATGCAAAATGATAGTAACGAAATTGACTGATGTAATAAAAAACTTTTGAAAATTCTAATTTAGAAGCTTTCTAGAAATACAGTATGCTACACTACTTATAATATACAAAGTATAATAAAAACAAAAGGTACCGGAGAAAAGGACATAAAGAGAAATAAATAAAGCATTTGTGTGGTAGTTGGTGTCGGTGGTCATGGTACATACCGGGGTCGCCGAGGGGCAGGAGGGGGTGGGCAGAGATGCTGGAGCTGCCCATAAGGGAGCTGCTTGAAGTGGCGCCACGATAGCCTCCCCCCTCCGAGCCCTGCAATGCCCTACCACCGCTAGTCTGCCGGAACGAATTGGACCTGCGAGCAAGAGAGAGTCAAGTTCAGCATCAGACCTATGCCACTAAATGCCAGGCTTCTCCAATTAATCCAAAAATTAATTAGTCCCCATCAGTTTTATCTGTCATGGACGGCTCTTTTTCAAGTACAACGCTTATTTAAAAAAAAAAAAAAAATACCTAATAGAAAATAACTGATAATCTAAAGGCATCAGAGACGCTGTGTCTTCTTGATTCAATCAAATCTAAGCAGGTGTTTGATGATTATACTCAAAAATTGTTCAAAAAAAGAATTTTTTAAAAATATTTATTCCAAATGTTTTTTAAACATATTTTTCAAAGTAAAAATATTGCAAAACTTATTTAACAAATTTTTTATTTCTGCAAAAAATTTAATATTAGTACTGAAGTGCAGAAATTAAAAATTTGTTAATGTTAATAAAAAAATTTTAATTTCTGAAATTTAGTACCAACATTAAATTTTTTATCAACATTAACAAATTTTTAATTTCTGCAATTCAGTATTAACGTTAAACTTTGTCTATAAACTGAAAAAAGAATTTTTATAAGGAAACTAATCATCCAACACCTTAGAGAAAAAATTTTTATTATAAAAATAAAGTTAACTTTAAAAATTAAAATAAGAAGAGTAAGAAAATAAAAAAGTATGTTTTAATTAATAGAAATAAATATTTAAAAATACTAAAAAGTTATTGCTTTTTTTTTAAACTAAACATTTCTACACATTTAAATATACTTATCTTTTATTTCGTGATTAAAAAAAAAGAGAGAGAACAGAGAGCAAAACAATAAGAAGAATAAACCTAATAGTGTCAAAATATTCAAATTAATTACCTAAGACAATTAATCTTGTGCCTATAAATATGAGAAATACACTAAAGTGCGCCTCCACATTGATAAGGAAAATAAATTTTTATCGTTTGTGTAATCAAAATTTCAAGTGAATTTAAATTCTACTTTGTCAAAGTACAAATTAAAAAATACAAAGTTGAAAACACTGTTAATGAATAGAAATAGAAACTTGACTTTTTTTAAAGATCTTTTTTAGACTTTTTCTTAAATTTACATTTTCATAACTAAATTTTTTTCTCTCAACTTATTTTATTTCATAGAATGCAGACTATCAAGAAGCATATGCATGCTATTAAGTAAATTGCTGAATTTTAAAGTTTCTAGTTATGAAAAAAAAGAAAAAAAACACTATTATTAAAATTGACGTCTCGCTACGACAAAATGTTTTTTAAAACGTTAGTTCATTATAATTCTATTCCAAAAACAATTGCAATTTAAAGAGAATTCACAAATTAAATTTTTTTTTTTGAGGTCTGAATCTTTATTTAGAATATTTTTAAAAATAATTTTATGATTTGGATATTCTTATTTAAACTGATTTAAAAAAGAATTTTCTACAAACAATAATTAATTAAAAATGTCTGATTTTTTTAAACGTTTAGTTAAAATTTATGAAAATTAAATTTTAAAAAATTTTAATAAACAAAACAAAATAAATTCCCTTTAATTATTTAAAACAAAATAAAAATTAGCTTCAAAAAAATGTCTTAATAAAAATTTTTAAAAAAAATTTAGTAATTTTTTATGATTTTTTAAAATTCAATTATTTCAATTACTAGTTTCCAAAAATTCAAATATCTACAAAAACAATAAGATTAAAATTGTTTAAAAAATCTAATTATTAGAATTATTATAATTTTGAAGAATAAAAATATAAACAATTTTTATTAAAATTCTTTTAAAAAATTCAATAATTTTCAAACATTAGAATATTTTTAAAATTTCTTTATCATAATCCTTTGAACTTCAGTTATTTTCAAAAAAGTTAATTAAAATTTTTCAAAAACTGAATTATTTTATAATATTATCCAAAAATTCTTTTAAAAAACTTAATTTTCGTCAAAATTTTTTACTAAATTTCAATTATTTAGAAATTTTTCAATTGTATATAATTAATAAATCTATTATCATTCAAAATTTAAATTTTCTATCATAATTTTCTTTGAATTTAATGATTATCAATATTTTCAATAATTCATCTTAATACATTTAAAAAGAAATCTTGAAGAATAATTACAATTATTATAAAAAATTGAACTTTTCTATCCCAATAATATTTTTTCGAAAAAAATTGTTAAAAATATAGTTAATAATTGATTTCGAGAAAAATTTTAATGACAAATTCTAGAAAATAATTGAATTTTGAAAAAATACAGTAGCAATTTTTCGAAATAATTCGAAAGGTTTTAAATTAAAATTTTTGAAAATCTTAATTGTTACCAATATTTACAAAAAATTTTTAATTTTAATTTTTTTAATTTCTTTTCAATTTAAAATTTAATTATTTTAAAAAATTATTGATTTGATGAATAAATTTAGTTAAAAATTCTAGAAAGTATTTGAATTCAGAAAAAATTACACTAGGATTAATTTTTAGAAATAATTGTTATCATAATGTTAGAGTTTGTAATTTTCATTTAAAAAATTAAATTTTTAAATTAAAATTATTGAATTCTTGAAAATTTTTTTGAAAAATTAATTAAAATAATTTATTTAGAGAAGTTCATTTTTTCCTAGAATTTAATTTTAATTTATGTAATGTATTTATTTCTTGAGTATAATTTAATTTTGAATGAGTTGCAGTTGAAATTTTTAGAAAAAATTAAATTTCAGAATATTAATTCTTGTACAAAAATGAATAACATTTAAATATTTTTTCTTAATAAAATTATCTAATCATTAAATAATAATAATAATAATATTAATAATAATAATAATAATAATTTAATTTAATTAAAATTTGTTTAAAAAAAAAAACAAAAAAAAAAGTTTAAAAACTTTGCTCAGAAATTACCGATTTCCATATCAAGTTCATACTCATCATTAAAATTAAATGTATTGTTAACCAAACGTTTTAAAAAAAAATCATATTGAACCAACGTTTAAAAAAATTATTTCACTGAAGGCAGACGTCGAAAATGATCGTTAAAATTTTAATGTATTTTGAGTCGTGCATAAAATATCAATGACGATAATTTGCCAATCGTATTATATTTACAAGGAAAATTATTGCAGAAAATTGAAAGAGGTTATTCTCTATTAGTGAAAAAAAACTACAGCTATATCGATGAGTACCTTGCTGGTAATTAAATATTGATAGGAAAAGAATTTAAAAATTAATTAACTTAAGTAAAAAATAATATATATAGAAATTATTGTGTGTGTTGTTTGGGTTACATTTAATATTAAAGTAAATTAGTGATTAATAAGAGGGTAAAACATCGATCATTCAGGTTTTATCGTGCCTGATGGTGAGCCTGACTCCCGCCACCCCTGTCCGAGCAGGCAACACTGGCAAACGGAAATATATAAAAATATTTATATATATATATGCAATAAAAAATGAAAACCAGTATATATAGAAGATATGTTTATATAGCTAGAAACAAAATTGGAGAAACGACGGTGTGACCAGTCGCGAAGTGCAATGCGACCCTGGCATTAAAGTGCAAATACCGACTCGTGTTTTCCGGTAAAAGCAAGACCGTGCCACCGCCCGTCTTTTACACAAGATTGGTGCGCACATTAATCAAAATTTCAAATGGTTCAAACCAATATTAAAGGGGGGGAGGTTATACGCAATGGTACTCATGCACTATCTACGTTAATTATTATTCGAGTGATCTGTTTCAATGTCACTCGAATTTATTTAATTATTCTTTTATTCTCACCTTTGGAACGTTTGTCGCTTCACATAATTATCTCGTACGAATTCCACAATCTGTTTCTGTGTCTTACCGCTGTACCTGTTTGGACAGAAATAACTTTTTAGTAATCAATCGTTACTCTCTATTTACGGAAGCAAATAAATTAATATCAAAAAATTAGTAAAACGTAAAAATTCGAAAGTCGAAACTGTTTAATTTTAGACTCTAGTTTTTATTATTTACTTTAATCATATTCTTTTGAAAATTTACTCAGAGTTCTGAATTTAAAAATGTTCCCAAAAGTTCTGAAGGTTCAAATGAACGAAATTTGTTTACTTCTTCAAATTAAAATTTAGTTAGTTAGTTAGTTATAAAAAAAAAAATTCTAAAGATCCTAAATGTTAAATTTAAGTTTTTAATTCTCATTAAATTTTTAACAAACAAATTTTTTTGTTAAGTAAATAATGTAATAAATAATGTCCTTAATGTTTTGAACGTTAAAAGGAACAAAATTATTTGTTTCTTCTTCGAATTCAATTTTTATTGCAAAAATATTGCGTCACGAATTAAGTAGATAAATTATAAATATTCTAAATGCTGAAATTTGTTTTTACTTTTTAGTAAAGTCAATAATTTTTGAAAATATTTGTAATGCAAAAATTTCCCTTCTTTTGAACATTCAGAACGTATGAATCATAATAAATGAATAATTTAATAAATAAATAATTTAAAAAATGAATAATTTAAAAAATAATTTAATAAATGAATAAATGATAATAAATAATTAAAATACGTTACCTAAAAGACGATCCTCGACTGAGGACTCGCGTCTTTTGGCGTACAACGCGTTTAACAACAGAACAGCGGAAGAATCCATGATTTTCTACACATTTTTTCCAAAAATTTTTGCACTCATTGCGACCTTCGAAGAAAAATTCGACTGTGTCCTTGTAATAACCCTAAAAGATTATTATTGAAATTCGACAAAAATATTCTTGGCTATAAACTGAAAATTCTGAGGAAAATGAACTTACATAGCCTTCGGGATGAAGTTTAATAAGAAATCGTTTCCGTTTGAAACTAATTTTTCTAATTTTCGCCCAACTAAATGTATTTATTTTAGTGTAGTTTTGAAAAACAACAATACCCATGTGCGCGACTGCCAAATTGAGCGGTACACCTTCGTGATCCTGGAAGAAAAATTCATTTTTATTTTAGTAGAAATTTTTTTAAATAAGAGTAAATTTTTACAGAATTGCCACAAAAATTGGATTTCCCTTTTTCCTAAATTTTCACAAGTTTCAGTAAGACTATTTAAAAAATGCAATTATTTTTAAATTGAATCCTAGCAATTTCAATTATTTTTTATCAAATTCCTACCAATTTCAATGATTTTGAAAATGTCCAACTAATAATTGTAAATAAAAATTCAATTTTATTGAAATAAATTCTTTAAAAAATAGAAGTGAAATATTTTAAAAATTATTTTAAGAATTTTTTATTTGAAATTAGTTTAAAATTCGATTATATTCAATAATTGGACTAAATTGTTTTTAATGATTATTTCAATTAAAACTTTTTAATTGAATTAATTAAAATTTTTTTAAACTAAAAGTCTTTGAAAATTCAATTATTTTCTTTTATTTTCAGTATGATTAATTAAAAATATTCAATCATTAAAAAATTTCGAATTAATATTCATAGAAAATTGAATTATTTACAAAAAATGTTAATATATGTAATTTCAGAAAAATTCAATTAGTTTTCAAATTTTAACAAAAATTTTTGAAAAATTAATTATTTTCTGTAATTGAGGGCTCGGATCGAAGAACCGACGCTTCGCAATGTTCTGTGCGTTTACAAGCGTCAATTCTTCGATCCGAGCCCTCAATTTTAGTAACTAAAATTATTTGGAATATTCAATTTTATTAGAAAAATTGAATTTAAATTCTTAAAAAATTCAATTATTTTCTAAAATTTGAAAGTAATTTTAAAAAATTCAATTTTCAATTGTTGATTTTTAACTTTTAATTTAAGAATTTAAGAATATTTAACTGAAATTTTTTAAAAATTTAATTATTTTCCATAAATTTATTGGATTATTTAAATATTCAAACATTTTAAAAATTTTGAATTAAAATTCTTAGAAAATTTACCAAAATTTGAAAGTAATTTTAAAAAATTCAATTTTCAAATATAGATTTTTAACTTTGCATTTAAGAATATTTAACTCAAATTTTTTGAAAATTCAATTATTTTTTTTTATTTTATTAAATTATTTAAAATATTACACATTTAAAGAATTTTTAATTAAAATTCATAGAAAATTCAATTATTTACAAAAATTTTAACAAAACTTTAAAAAAATTAAATTAATTTTCGAATTTTAACTAAAATTTCTTGAAAATTTGATTATTTTCTGTAATTTTAGTATAATTATTTGAAATTTTTAATTATATGAGAAATTTTGAATTAAAATTCTTAAAAAATTCAATTACTTACAAAAATCTTAATATAATTTTTTAAAACATTTCAATTATTTTTCAAATTGAAAGTTCTTAATTTTTAATAAAAATTATGATCCAAAAGTTTTGAACTTTTAAATGAACGAAAGTTATTTATTTCTTTTTCAAATTAAATTTATATTACAATTATTTTGCATCACAATAAAAAAACATTAATAACAAAGTTTTCAAATGTAAAATTTAATTTTTTAGTTTTTATTTCAATCAGTAATTTATGGAAATATTTTTGATAAATAATTTTTCGTTTATTAAAATGACAAAAATTGTGAATCACAATAAAAACAATTTTAATTTCAATCTTTTTGAATTTAACTAATTAATAAAAATTTTAATTGCAACTTTTTCTTAGTAAAATTATTTTACATTCAATTTGCAATCTTACTTTTACTTTAACAATCATATAAATAAAAATTCGTCTATGAATCCTTGTAAAATTTAAATATTTACCAATAATTGAATTAAATTTTTGTAAAATTCACTTTTTTTAAAATCTCTACTAATATTTTTTTAATAAATTTTTCTCAAAAATTTTTTTTAGGCACCAATAACTAGAATCTTTGCAGAAATTAAAAAAATTGAATATTTTTCCAGTTCGTTTGATAAAATTCCCTGATTAATTTAATTTTTCTTGACTTTCCTGTGACAATCTTGTTTTTACTTTGTAATATTTCACTCACTTTGGCAGGATGCATTTTCATTCCATATAATTCACAGCGACGAGCGGTTTCTAAAAGATTGAGATCTGCTTCGGCAGGAGATTGTCCTCTATATAATTAACAAACATTAGAATATTTAATCAGTAATTAAAATGTTTCTTTTTATCGTTTACAAATTTATACAAGTTGTAATTAAAAAATATCGTTTAAAAAACTCACGCATGTTTCTTGTGATTTTCCATTATACGTCGTTCTAGTTCCTGATCTTGATGAGGCACGAATTTATAAGTAGACAAATACGTGTGATCAGGATAATCTTCTATAACGTAATCACCACACTCAGCTGTAAATATTAAATTGAGTCTTTTAATCATAATAAATTAATTATATAAACAGACCCTTTAAAAAAACAAAAAATAACTTAATGAATGAATTTATCAAGGAAACAAATTAATAACATGACATCTCGAGGAGAGGCCCTATTTACCGCTAAGTGAAACAGAAAAGGCAATAAATCTACAATGACTAATGACAAAGAGACAATTGTGATGATTGATGTCAGAGCTTCGAGAGCGGTAGCACTTAAAATAATTTCTACAATGACGAGAGGATTTATAATTTGAATATTTAGAGTGTGTACTCTCTGTGTCTACTGTTGCAATTTAAAATTAGGACTAGGTCATCGAAATAAAATCGATTTCTTTGTATATAAAGATTTGATATTAATACCTTGAACAATATAGCTAGCCATTAATGCTGCAGTATTATCATTGCACTGCAGTAAACCCTGAGCTAAGTCTCGTTTGATTTGCAAACAGAACAAGTATCTAGTGAATTCTTCTTCGAGCTGTGCGGGATCAGGCGTGTAAAACTTGACGCAAAATCTCAGGAGCGGATCGACAAGCGATAGTCCTACTTGTCGACAAACTGGTTTTTCTAGGTCCAACCAATACTGAAAAAGAAGAGGAGAAAAAAAAGAGCGATAAGCGATATAAAATATATACATCTGACAAGTTTCAACTTTTATGTTAAATCATTGCGAACTTACCCTCGTTCCGTTAGTCTCCTGATATTCAAGGCCAAAGTAATCTGCTTCCAGGAGATGTAGCTGTTTGCAGACTTGGTCAAAGAGAACTCTGCCCAATGCTTTTGCCTGAAAATTAAAATTCACACTAATTAAAAAAAATTGTTAATTTACTTTCAATCTTCTATATTATGAAAAGGGACATGAAATTAAAATTTTATCAATATTTTCTAATTTTAGAGATTACAGCAATTTTTTCACGTTTGAATCTGAAGCAATTTACTGATATATCAGTGGAAAAATTTTTTTTTACTCAGAAACAAATAATGTTTGAATCAAATTGATACACAAGTTCCGAACGTTTAAATAAACAAAATATTTTCGATTAAAACTATTTTTAAAACGTTATTGATTTTAATAAGAATTAATTTCAATTTAACAATTAAAATCTTCAAAAATTTTTTTTGTTATCACTTGACGCAAAATTATTCCAATAAAATTTTATGTTGATGAAGAAAAAAATAAATTTTCTTCATTTGAACATTTAGAACTTTGAGGGTATTCAAATACTCTATTTTGTTGCATAAATCTTTATTTTAGGTTTTTCTGTAAATATAGATTGTTTAATTATTATAATTATTATTATTATAATTATTATTAAACAATAATTTAATATAATAATTATTAAATAATAATACTTTAAATACTACTTTAAATAATAATTTAATATAATAATTATTAAATAATCTAATAATAATAATTATAACTTTAATAAAGTTTGATTAACCTGAAGTAAATATTTATCTGATTAGAATAAACATTTGCTTCAGTTTAATAAATTTTGCATTCAAAGAAAGAATTTCGTTATCTACAGAAAATTTTCATTTGAACCAAAATACTCTCACTTGATCGAAATATTATTTTAATATCAATTTCTCCAAATCAAAAATTACTGATTGCAAAAAAAAAATAAAAACGTAAATTATATTATCAAAAATTTATGAATTATTTCTTAATATGTTGCCACAAAAATTGAGTTTTGTTTTTTCTTGATTACCAGACAGAATTTCCATGAAAATTCACATTTTCAATAATTTCACATTTAAAATCTTTTGATATTTGATATTTCATAAAAATTGCTACTGTAACTTCTCAAAAATTATTTTCATAATTTCAATTCAATCGTTTTCTACAATTTTTAACGAATATTTTTGTCTAAATTAATTGTTTTTTTTTATAATTTTTGAGAAAGTTTTTTGCGAATTCAATAATTAAAAAAAAAGAAAGAAAGTTCACTTAAAATAATTCTGAAATCCACTTGTTCACAATTCAATTTTACGAAATTTTATTTATTGGAAAATTCTAATTACTTTAAAACAAAAAATTTAAATAAGAATTTTTCATAGTGACTTTTTCAAAATTTGTAATTATAATTATTCTGGAGTTAAATTTTTTAAAACTTTTGAAAATCGATTCTTCATAAAATGCAATTGTAAATATATTGTAAAATTTCAAAATTCAAATCTTTGGAAATTCAATAAAAATTACTACTGAAACTATGTCCCTAAAAATGTAAACGTTAAAATGAACGAAATTATTTATTCTTACCTAAAATATAAAATTTTATTGCAATAATATTGCGTTAAATATGAAAACAAATTAATTATATAGATTCTAAATTTTTATTTTCGTTTTTTCTGTTTATAAAAGTCAATAATTTTTGAAAATATTTTAATAGCAAAAAATTACGTTCATTTGAACGTTCAGTGCTTGTGGATCATTTGAAACTTCTTAAAGTTATTTTCATGATTACAATTCCATTATCCTAATAGAAATTTTAAGTAATAAAATTCTTTTCTCTGTCGAAAAGAAGATTATTCGATTATTTTTTAATTAAATATATTTTATAACACAAAAAAAAGAAATTAAAAAATTTTATTTTCAACTAAATTAAAAATTTTAAATTAAATCTTTTTATTGTTTTCCAAGGTTTCTGGATAACAGAAACCAGATTTATCTTATGAATTAAAAAAATTTTATTTTATTCTTTCATTTTTGATAAAATTCTTTGAGATTTTCTTTTGTAATATTATTATAGATAAAAAAAGGGGATTTCAATTTTCAAAAAAAGGGATTTATTTTAAATAATTGAAGAGTTAAAAATTAAGTAAAAAATTATTATATTATAGCTTGTACTACGGAAAAAGATAAAAAATTTATTTTAACGATTTTTTACTTTTTCTCTTAATTACACCTTTTTTTAAATCAGATTGTCTTTGTTAATTTTTTCCGTTAATTATTGATTTTTTGTTATCTTTTTCCATAACCTGTAATTTTTTTTTTATTTTTAATGAAATTGTTTACAAAATTGTTTACAACGCTACTTTTATTTTAAAATTCCATGAATTTTGCAAAATCCGAAGTAAACTGCAGTAAAAAATGAGTAAAATTTACTCCGGACTTGATAAAATTTCCCTGCAAAGATAGTAAAATTTATTATTCAAAAATTGTTATTTCCAGAATAACTTTTACTATTTTCAAAGACAATTTTTTTTTAGAAAAATTAGAAAAATTTACTCCTTCTAATTCAATTACTTTCTAAATTTTTTAACTAAAATTCTTCTTTAAACCAATTATTTAACGTTTTCAAAATTCAATTATTTCTAAAAATTCACGCTATATAATACTTTCTCTCTAAATTTTAATTAGTAAAAATGTTTACTTATTAGAATTTGACTTTTTGCTTTTGAATTAGTAAATTTGACTATTAATATTTAATTATAATAATTAATTTAATTATCTAAAATTTTAACTGAAATTCACATTTAAATCAATTTTTATTAAAAAAATTCTACCAGAATTCAATTATTCAAATACAAAAATAAATAATTTATTGAAGAATTGAATGTTTCTTAAAATAGAACTCTCATAAAGAATTCTATCAACAAATTTTTAAATAGGTAATTAAAACTCTTTTGACGAATATCAATAAAATTGTTGAGAATAGTTTCATTTTTCAAGAAATTAGATTAAAATTGTATTAAAAATAATTAAATCTCTGTAAAAAAAATTTGATTGAATTGAGAAAAATTTTTGAAAATAATTGAAATTTTGCCAAGAATTTTATTAAAATTTTTGAAAATAATTGAATTTCTGCGCGAAGAATTTTATTACTTTTGAAAATAATTGAATTCTTGAAACGAATTTTAATAATATTTCTTTTTAAATAATTGAATTATTTTGTAAAATTTTATTGAAGTAGTAGAAATTGGAAATAATTGAATTTTAATGAATTATTGAAATTAATTAAATTTCTAAGAAGAATTTTTATTAAAATTATTTTGGAAAAAAATGGAATTGTTAAAAAGAATTTCATTAAAATTTTTGAAAATAATTTAATTCTTTCAAGAAATTTAATTAAAAATGTATTGACAATAATACTTAAATTCTGATAAATAAAATCTAGGAAAGCTTTTTTTGAAATAATTGAATTTCTTTCATGAATTTTAATAAAATTTTTAAGAATAATTACATTTTTCGAGAAATTCCATTAAAATTGTATAAAAAATCATTGAAATTCTGCGATGAGTTTTATTATTTATGAAAATAATTGAAAACCTACAAAGAATGAAATTATTGATTATTTATGAAAATAATCGAATTATTGGGAAGAAATTTATAAATAATTTGTAAGTAATTAGAAATAATCAATTTTTTTCTATATTCTGGAAATAATCAATTTTATAGAAATACCAAATAGTTTAGGTTCTAGTTCGGAAATAGTAAAAGTTGTTATGTATTTTTTCCTCGTATGAAAATATTTCCAAGTTTAAAATCTCTGAGAAATAATACAAAAAGATTTTTTAAGTTTCAAAAAAGGAAACTTTTTCCAAAGTTTTAGAAAGAGTAAAAGTATTTTTCTTTCAATCAGAACTAAACAATTTTCTAACTTACAAAAAATGATAATTTTTACAAGTTTTTCTTAACAAGTAATTAAATTAATGAAAAAGGGAAGAAAATGGGGGAAAATGTATGTTTTTTTAGGTGTTTTAGGAAACTATATTAATTTAAGGGTCTAAAAGAGGGGAAAAGAGTACAAAAAAGAAAATTAGGTATAAAAGCTACGATCCCTCTAATTTTTAGCTAATGACTATTTTAATTACTTTTAACATTAATTAACTTTCATCAACAGAAACCCATTATCAATGCAGGCTAAATTAATTACATTAAATAATTAATTTTCTTCATTAAAACAGTTAATTAATACACCTAATAAATATTATATTCACACCGCACAGTGTTTATACAATTTAGAAATACAAAATTCCCTCCAAAGTGAAAGAGAGAGTACTGGAGAGTACAAAACCAATAAGAAGAAAAAGTGGAAATAAAAATTGTTAATCTTGTAAACTGGGAAAAAAAAGTATGCATTAGGAGAAAAAGTATATAAGTTTTATATACTATGCATGTGAAGCTGCAAGAAGAAATCAATAAAAGAGCTTGCATCTCTCTACGTCTACATTACATGGTGAAGCATAACCAATAACTTATACGCCCTAATAGTTCACATTGTGAAAAGATTATATAAAGTTTCAAGAGTGATATGTATGTAAAGGGCGACAGAGACAGACAAGGTGAATTGGTTAAACGATAATTTAGTATTTTAAGCGATTTCATGCCCAATATTCTCAAGGCTAAAGTCGTCTGCATTTCAAATTGATACTTATTATTAAAATTAAAATCATTTCCTTCATATCCTCTCGCAGCATGATTGTTTCAAGCGACAATTTCACCTTCCCATATTTTTTCATTCTGAGAGATAAAATTTTTAAACTAAACTCACAATGTAAATTGTAATAAAAATAAACAAAAGTGAAACGAAAGTAAAATAAAATAAGAGTAAAATAAAAATGAAAATAAAATAAAAGTTAAATAAAAATTAAAGTAAAATATAATAAAAGTAAAATAAAAATTAAACAGGGTTGCCACAGGTCAGGGAAAAGTCAGGGAAAGTAGAATTGGTCAGGAAAATCAGGGAAAAGTAAGGGATTTTGATTAAAATTACTGGAAAAAATTAAATTTTCAGAATTAATAAGAAAATTCTCAATTTTTTTGTCTTTTTTTTAAAA